AGAATTTCATTCTCCAATAACTTGTGCAAACTCACGGTGTTACCCTAAAGCTATTTTCTAGACAGAACTTCCTCAGTACTTTGCCAATATATAACCTCTTTGCTATCCCTCTTGTCTTGATCTGGACTGTTTGCCACCCCAGGAATGTAAAGTGGCAATTATTAAAAAAATAATTAGCAAATGAGCAGCCCAAGAGGCATCCAGGTTCCCTCTCTTTCTCAAACTCATTCTGCTACTTTAAATCATCTATTCCACTACAGCTTCAGTATGGCTTTGTGTCCAAACAAACACACATTGAAGAGCCTCCACCTCCCTGTACTTGCTATGTCCCTGGTGCCCAAGGCTGTCTCCCTTCTCCAAGGCCAAAACTCCTATGACTCATTTCTTCTTTGCCAAGAGAAATGACCTACTTTTCAGAAAAACACAGAATTGTGAATGAGTTCTGGGACTGCAAGACCAGACATATGGGAGGAGATAGACCCCTGGTTATGTCCACTTACAGAAGGAAAAGTTGAACACTTTGACAGAGCATCTCCTGGTGATGCAGAGGGTCAGCATACATCATGTCTTCCTCCTGTTCCTCTTTACTTCTGCACTGCAAATCACACTCACTATTCCAAATCACTGGAACAAAGAGGTAGAAACCCCAATTAAAGTGTCCGAAGGGATTATTCAGAAAGAAAATACATCTGAAGGTGTAAGAGGACTGTGTGACAGACATGCTGCTTTCAGATTTGGATTTTACTGCTGTGTTGCTCAGGAACCCCTGACGCTTTCTAGCTCCCTGAGCACATCTGTTGCTGGAAACATAACAGCATTCACCTTGTTAAAAGCAACCTGTGTCACAAGGCAGCCAGGAGGAGCAGAGTGACCATGGAGCCTCCTGAGAATATTTCCATGATGCCCTGCTCCCTGCAGCTCACAAGGTGAAGGAAAGGGCACCTCGCCCCCCTTCCTGGACCAGCTACAAAGGCAGACCTGGTAAGTTATGATTGACCACAGGAGGATTGGTCCCCACCTTCCATGAGGAGGGTGAAAAACTAAGCTGTGAAAGCACCTTACGTCACTCCACTGGTAAACAAGGGCTTTCTTCATCTGGCCAGGCAGTATGACAAACCCATGAAACCTGCTGATCATGGAAGGTCTACTCAGGCCTCAGTTTTCTCTGTGATTACCCAGTGTCTTTGTCCTCACAATGATACTGCCTGGCTAGGTGGTGTCACCCCTGATGTCACTCAGCTTGATGAGAACTTCCTGGGTGATGGAAAAGCAGGCAGGCACCAAAAAAAGGCATTCTGGTTTTCTCCAGATATATATTTTCTACCAAGTATCTTTTCAATCACATTAATTTTACCTTCTAGTAAGAAGTTTATTATGACCTTTACTCAGTGGAGCCAGTCTGAAAGATGAAAACTGTACCATATCACATCTGATGATGTCAGCCCACATTTGGCTGTGAGCCTCCCCTGACTGAGTCATAGCAGGAGGGTTCAAAGTGAATACTAAATAGCATTAGCTTTAAGATATAATGCCGGTAGGCTAATTCATCAGTAATTCAGAGAGAAGTGAATTTTCCTGACTTGGTGCTGCCTTATCTGTCCTGCAGTGAAAATGAAGCAAGATGCCTTTCTGGTATCTCAGATCAGAAACAAGCTTAGGATGATTTTCATTTAAGATCCCAGCTGCAGTATTTGCCTTAGCTATTTCTTAGCACACACTTTACAACCTTGCACAGCATTGGGTATCAAATCTTAAAATATGGAATCCAAAATTACATACAAAGGCTGCACCCATCTTTAGCATGTTCATAGCAAGCTGCCCCATGTCAGACATAAATCCCAAAGCTTTGTTCTGTAACTCCAGGTGCTCCTAAAATAAATTAGCATATTGTTCTGTCACTCTTCTGGTGCACTAAACACATACAAGACCTCTCCAAAAAGCTGATAAAGTCCATTAGGATCACCTGAACAGATGTCACACACACTGCAACTTCCGAATGCACTGCTCTCTTGAACCAATGCAAGTCACTAATGGCTGGGTATCGTGTATATTGATCTGGAAGTGATTCAGCACACACTCCACTTTCTAGGCTAACTGCTCTCACAAGCAGAAAGCACTTCCAAAGCAGGTGATGCTTATTACTGCCTACGTGGCACTGTTGTCCCACAGCACCTTGTGGTAAATTTCCTACACTGCCATGGGGCTGAGCAGAGCAGAGTGGTGTCAACAGACATCCACAGCAGCAGCTCAAGCTGTTGGTCCATGCTGACAAATATTGTACCACTGAAAGTGATCTCTCAGTGACTCAATGACCCTCCGAAAATAAAGCCTGCTTCACCCAAAGGAGCCCTCTGGCTGAAGTGGTCTGCAGGATTTCTCTTTTGCTCATCTCATGACACTGTGATAAATCACAAGTGCTATGATGCACTATTTGGTTTCACTGCAGATGGTACCCATTGCACATACAGATTTAAATGGCTGCTTTGAAACTTCACCTTTTTTTTTCCCCAGGTTTATTTACTGAGGCATGTTTTACAACAAATGTCTGCTTACTCTCAGACTTTAACATTTTCAATTAGCAGGGTCAAAGAGTTCCCCTCAGGAAGGTTTAAAACAACACTTTTCCCCCTTGGTTTCCATGTCTTACACCAGTTTCTGTGCCATGTACTGTGTAGCAGTATACCTCCCACTTGCTTTGTAATTCTAAATATCCATGCCCGATTCATGGCTGGGGCATGCAGAGGCAGCCAGATCACAGCACTTCCATGCTCTCCTTTTTATAAGAGCACAACAGTGTCCATTAAAAGAAATGAAATCTCTTGCTCAGGGAAAAACAAAAACACACAAAAACCCACAGCATCCCTACCTTACAGTCTGCAGCTAAGTCTGAAGCTGTACGGACCTCAAGCCAAAACATAACCACAGTTTAGGGCAAGTGGCATAATGTGTGCTGTAACAACCAGGTTCCACCACAGTCACAATGTTACAGAGCCATGCAAAAGGTGAGTTTGCCTGTGTTGGCAAAGTGAGGATTTGTAGAGGCATATCTGGCTGAGATTTCTTATTTCGTTTAAAAAAAGGAAAGTGGAACTTCTCTTTCCCTGTTGCTCTACACCAAAACAGCAACAGCTGCGTCCCTATGTACACCATCAGCTGACGGCAGCTCCTCAATGCAGGGCACCTTTCTCTGAGCTGTTTTACTGTTAGCTGTAATAATTATTGTCTGTGTGACACACTGTCTGCAGTGGCAGAAGTTGCCCCTTTTCCCTCTGCTGGCAGACCAAAAAGCTGAATTACAGATATGACTGAAGGATGAAAATAGATCCAGTGTGAAAGTAGTTATCTGAAATTCAGAGAATCAATAAGATAATAAAAAAAAATAATTCATGTCATAGGTTAGAGAAAATATCTGAGTTCTAAATTCTTTCATTCTGAAGACTTTACAGTTCTAAAGCTTATGAACTAACATGAGACAGCATTGTGCTAGAAATTTAGTGAGTGTTCTTCCACTTAAATGAACAGAAGACAAATTAAAAATGATATTTCTTGGAAAATCATATGTAATATTGTCAGTGAAAATTTAAACAAACATCAAGGTGCCCTGCTCTTGTCTCACACAGTCTTTGATTTGTGAAACAGATTTTAGATAATTTAACAGCCAGAAGTGGTTTAAAAGACAGACAGAGAAACTGCTGGTATATACACCAATTTATATTCTCTTTCTCAGACCTCATAACTTGTTCCTGTTCCTGCATGACAAGCATTGATGGGAATGCTTGTCACACAGTTTTAAACGATGCTGAAACAAAATTCTGACATTATTATTCTCCCAACTATAAAAGCTATATACACAACACCATTCACTCTCCTTATTAAATATGTTTTGATATTCTGGAAACAAAATGGGACTGTTCTAATACTTTTAGGGACACAGCTGTTTCTAACTCAAAATTACACATTGAAAGTACCTGCTTATAATGAGTGGCAAACTATAGCTTCCAACCGATGGCGGTTTTAATCCAGTGCTCCATCTCCAGCTCAAGCAGAGGACATCTCAGTCTGTCCTGAATTCTGCTTTCTGATGGTTTCAGGGATGCATGGGGGGGTAGAAGCCCAGGGTGAGCTTTATCCCTGGGATTTCTTTGTCACAATCAAAAGAAGTGAGCCATGCCAACTAAAGCCTAAATTGAAGGAAATCTGGCACGATGCTTGCCAAATGTTATATGCCTGTCCCACCAAATCTGGGCAGGCCCTGTGGAACAGCATTACACTATTTCAGATGGACCCAGACTCTGTTCTGAGCAAAACTCATGCTTGCCATCTGAAATTTCATTTTATCACCAGTCCTCTAGGAGTCTCTTTGCCTGTGTTCCTGCACTATTTTCCACAGCAAGAATCTTCTGTTTGGCTATAGCTTTTTTTTTTCTTTTCACAATTGGGGACCATCAAAAGAAAAAGTAGTTCTTTTTCCCCTACAGGCATGTAGGAGCAAAGAGGTTATGCCTCCCCATTTTAATCCAGCAGTGTCAGTATGGAAAAAAGAAGCAGTTCCCTGTCTGTCTTTCTCAGGTGGCTTAGTAGGGCTAAACCCAGCTGCACACAGATGGAGAACCCCACAGTACCACCTGCATCACGTACAGGGAGATCCCCACAGTACCACCCACATCATATACAGCAAACTACTTGTGCTGCATTTAGCTATGTTGATGGTAACAGCTTCTTTGCTCCGTTTTTCTGTTCTTTCTCTTTGAGTCCCCACCTTATCCCAAAAGAAGTAGTAATGGAACTTGTCTCATTTGGTACAGACATTGATCACAGTACTGGCTCAACTCTGCTTGCCACCTGCATCTCAGCTCCCATTACCCTGTCTTCAATCATTTACCTGGCACTACAGCAGGGAATAGCTTTGCTTGCAGGACATTTTCTTGAAAGTGGTAATGACCAAAAAATATGTCAAGACACGGAAAATTTACAGTTTTAAATGTATTCTAGTGATTAATTTTTACGTTACTTTTTTTCTTCTTTCAGTTCTCAGATCCCAGATTGCTTCTTGAAGAGTCCATTAGCACCCAATATTTTCTTGGCTTGAAGGTGCATCTCCAGCACTCATGTAACATTTCACTCTTATTCTCAATAGAAAAAATAGATCTCTCAAAGGCTGCAAATGCAAAACATTTTCTCTCAAGCTTGGAAAATATGTGTGCATATATATATCTACATACATACATATATGTATATTTATATTTAAAATTTATATTTAATTCCCTTTTGAATTTTTCAACATCTTTTCTGAAACACAGACACATGTCCATCATAAAGTCACTACTGAAGCTGCTTCCCACTCTGTGATTCAGTGAGTACATTAGGTGTTTTGTAACAGCTTGGGATTTGGAACTTGCTTTGAACTGTTTATCTCTAAGAGCGCTACTACTTTTGGAGCCACTGCTTGCCAGATCCACTGCTGTGAAAGTCTGCCACCATTCTTATTCTCTGTTCATCTCTCTGCGTTTGTCTGTACTGAAATGCATTTTCTTTGACTTGACTAGTTTGCCAAGCTATATGTATGACTCTGTAAGACTTCCTTGTTTATTTTTCTATCCACTTTTCCATCACCCAGAAAGGTTACCAGCAATCAATTCACGAGTATAAAACAAGCACTAATCTTCAAAAAAATATACCTCCCAATTAGCAACAATATCATATATGTTTCTATTTATTTTGTATTTACTTGTTGATCGTATGGATATGTAATTGGCTGGATGATTACATTCAGAGAGCTGCTGTCTCTGAATGGCTCAATGTCCAAGTGGAGATCAGTGATGAGTGGCATTCCTCAGGGATCAGTGCTGGGACCAGTGTTATTTAACATCTTTCTAGTTGACATGGACAGTGGGATTCAGTGCACCCTCAGCAAGTTTGCAGACGACACCAAGCTGAATGGTGCAGTTGACATGTTAGAGGAAAGGGATGCCATCCAGAGGGACTTGGACAGGCTTTAGAGGCGGGCCCATGCCAACCTCATGAAGTTCAACAAGGCCAAGTGCAAAGTCCTACATCTGGATCAGGGCAGTCCCAAGCACAGTTACAGGCTGGGCGGAGAACGGTTTGAGGGCAGGCCTCAGGAAAAGGATTTGGGAATGTCTGTTGATAAAAGACTCAACATGTGCTGGCAATGTGCGCTTGCAGCCCAGAAAGCAAACTGTATCCTGTGTTGCATCAAGAGAAGCATGACCAGAAGATCAAGGGAGATGATTCTGCCTCTCTACTCTGCTCTCCTGAGACTCCACCTGGTGTACTGCATCCAGTACTGCGTTCTGGAGCCCCCAACACAAGAAGGACATAGAGCTGTTGTAACGGGTCCAGAGGAGGGCCACAAAGATAATCAGAGGGTTGGAGCACCTCCCCTACGAGGACAGGCTGAGAGAGCTGCGGATTTTCAGCTTGGAAAACAGAAGGCTCCAGAGGGACCTTATAGCAGCTTTTCAGAACCTGAACGGGGCCTACAGGAAAGCTGGGAAGTGACTTTTTATAAGAGCAGATAGCAACAGGACAATGGGAAATGGCTTTAAACTGTAAGAGGGTAGATTTAGACTAGATATCAGGAAGATCTTATTTACTGTGAGGGTGGTGAGACACAGGAACAGGTTGCCCAACGAGGTTGTGAATGCGCCCTCATTTGAGGCCAGGCTGGATGGGGCTGTGAGCAACCTGGTGTAGAGGGAGCCTATAGCAGGGGGTTGGAACTTAAAGGTCCCTCCCAACCCAAACCATTCTATGATTCTGTGATCTGAATAGCACAAGATGCCTCAAAATGATCCATAACATGACAGCTTCTACATCTGTGACTTCTGAAGATCTAACATCTTTGTATTTGTTATCTTTTTCAATTAAAACACTACTCAATATTAAGATAATATCTGTAAAATTTATGTGTATTGTCAAGAAAACTCAATGCCTCAAAGAAATGAGATATGAGGTGACAAACAGTGGTTGTTCTGAGCAGATTGCTGCTAGTCATAGAGACACACTGGTGGAAGCTAGTAATTTCTGTCCTATAGTACCATGGATTTAAATATGGTATCTGTGTTTATATTCTGGTACTCTGGGTTGTTGGCAACAGAGTTAGGATGATTTTAGCCACTTAAACATTATTTCTCAGTGTTCTCAGCTTCGCTAAAAATAAATTTTCCCCCGTCTTTAGCTTCCTTATTAAATCTGTACACTTCAAGTCTTCTGTAGTAGTTTCTCCTTCTATACTTACTGAATGTAGATTTTTTTTTTTTTTTTTTTTTTTTTTTTTTTTTTTTTTGATCTCTAGTTCTTGCTTTCCCTTCATCAGAGCCAGATGGACTTTATGCAAAGTTGTCTTGTTTCTTGGCTGAGAAATGGCAAACTTTCTGGTCCTCTGACAAGCTCCTTACAAAAAACTCTCAGTTTTCATGTAGATCTTCCTTCAGAGCCAGTTTCTCACAATATTATCTTTAACTTTGAAAAATAAGCCTTTTTGAATTGTCAGATATACTACTGGTTGAGATTGTTGTTTGCTTTAATATATTAAACCTATTGAGGAAGTGAAATCTGGTACATCAGTGACCCCTGGATGTAGTCCAGCAATTCATTTTATTCATTCTTAAATTCAAAATGGAGTTCTCCCATCGATTCAAAACAACAACAAAAACAACAACAACACAACAACACTTTCTTGTGCTAACAAATGCTCATCTGTAATTTGTGAGACCTTCTGAGATCTCTAGCATGTACACGTGTACATGTTAGGTTATTCTCTTTCTGTGAATTGAACGCTAAGACATTGATTGTCTTAGTTGTGAAGCTGGGGTGTGTAATGATGAATCCCAGACAATACCTTCTTTGAGCTTTGCTAGTTGAAGAATCAATCAGTGCCCACTCAGTCACCCGTGGATCTCAGTATCCACTCAACCAGGAGTGCAGCCTCCAACCTGACAGTTCAGCCAGAAGCGTGGAGTAAAGGTGACAAGGACCTTCCCAGAGAAGCCAGGCACTTCTGGCAACACTGACATTTTCTGTTTTCCAAAACCAACATCTTTTAAGGTACCTGACTTTCCACTACCTTATCACAGGTAAATAGATTTTAACATCTCTTCCAAGCCATTCACTCCAGAGACTTCAGTAATGTCAATTACATGCAATTTTTTCTCATCCATCAATATCTGATTTCCTCCTTACCTGAATTCCTACTGTTCTGGCCTCCAAGTAACTGAGAAATGTTTTTGTTCATTGTTTTTAACACAGTAGTTCAGTTTGCTCATAACTGGTGGAGTTGGAGTTTGTGGAGCTTGTATCCCCTCATGGCGCTGGTTTCCCTCACTGTTGGTTCCAGATTCCACGCCTACATTACCTGTAACAAAATCATAAGCAGAAGCAGACAGGCAATACTACAACTATCTCCAACTCTCAACTACCTATACATTCACTGGCTGATCAGTGGCATTTTCCACTTTTCTGTCATTCACCCAAGCTCTTCTTCCATGTTCTCCACAACTTCTCATCTTTCTGCTGAAGGCCACCAGCAGCAGAACTTCCCAGCCACCAGAGCTTAACCACCCTCCTGCCTTGGCTGAGCAGCACAACCAGAGCCAGAGCCTCATACCTCACAGCACCAGTGGTTTGTCTGCCACCATGCAGAGAAGTGCTTCCTTCAGGCCATGCAGGTGCCATAACTGCAGAAGATCATCAGTCACTCGGGAGAATTCCACTGACTCTATTCCGGCCTTTGAGATACACAGATAGTAAATAAACCCTAGCTTTAAAACCATCTGAATAATGAGTTGTCTTTTTGGTGGAGTTTTACTCATATATGTATTTCCAGTATCTCCAACAACTTACTCTGTTAGTGTACATAGACATTTTTCCAGGAATAGAAGAGTAGACTGAATTTCTGATGCAATCAACACAAAATGCTAACATTTCAGGTCTTTTTTTTAACATCATAAAAGAAGAAAGAAGGGCAGCAAGCCCATTTCTTCACCTTTTGCCAATCTTCTTAAAAAAAAACAAAAAAACAACCAACAACACAGCTTAGTCAGACAACTGAACAAACACACTGTGAATATAATTTCTCTTTGACCAGTACATCTAATGAAAAGTGAATGGGAGGGCTTCAGTTCACCCTATGTAGCTGGCAAAAATTAAATGAAAACATGTTCAGCAAAATGTTTCCCTGGTATTTTTCTACTTCCTATACTAAATGCAAGGGAGAAGTTCCATCTTCTCTATACATCTCTGGGATTGCAACAGGCACCCATGCGGACATGGGTGCCTTTTACTTGAGATAATATTTAATTTAACATATATATTGTAGAAACACATTAAAATGGGATAGAAATAACTAACAGGTCTTTTTCTGTTTCTTTTTTCCCCCACAAAATTATGATAAATTCTTTGTGGCCAGATATTTACCATTTATCAACTTTTTTGCCTATTTCATTTCTGGAACTAGGAGAATATTTCAAAATGCTTCCACCTAATTAGCTCACCTGAGAGAAACATGCAGTGATGACAGAAATGCCCAAATGATGCCCATGCTCTCTCTGCCTTCTTTGGTGAATATTATTTAATCTCCAGCCTGATGTTCTCACTCTCTTCCTTTGAAACACCTGTGCTGTGGGCTAAGAATAGGATCCCTATTCAGTGCTGTCACAAAACAAAGTAGAACATCTGGGCTTCTACATCCCTGCTACCTTCTGGCAAATGTTGTTCCACACGTGCCCATTTCACACTTTTGTCTTTCTAGCCTGCTGGGGGTTTTCTGGGAGATTTTCACCGGCTTGCTCAGGGACAGTGCGTTTGTCTGTAGGCACTGGAGGGGCAATTTTTAGTGGCTGATAACTAGATCAGTTTTCCAGAGAAGGGTGGTTCAGATTTGTTCCCAATATAACTTTGCTGGCTCTAATGGGTTTTTACCAGGGATGAATTTGGCCCCATGTTGTTAGATGTGTGCATATTAGAAACAGAGTCATTTGCTACAAGGGAAACAGTCAACATCTTATTTGCATCCATGCATATCAACAATGCAATTAGGGCAAACTTCTTTGAGAATTGGATTCAGATGGTAATTAAAGAATTGTGTTATGAATTTTAATTTGGCATTAGTGGAGTAAATTATTCTGTATTGCTCTGTTCTCACAGTTTGGGCAGAATACATTATGCTTTGCTTACTGAGACCTTTGAATTAAAAAAAAGAAAAGAAAAGAAAAGATAGGGGGGAAAAAAAAAAAAAAAAGAGCCCAGTTGCCTAGTCCCTGTGTCCTTAGAATCTAATTGTGTGGAAGAAAATGAGTTACATAAAACATTTGCCAGTGATTCAAAGCCAGACAGCAGGGAACATCATTCTTTTGATTCCCTCCAATAATGTGGAGACTAAGTTGGGAGGGTTGGTGAGGAAACTCTTCTAAGCAGCAATAATTTGTAAGACTTATTAATACATATATTTTTAAATACATAAAAATGGCTGTTTTGCAAAGACAGGTGAGACAGAGCCATTTAAAAAAATCAATGTCAACATCTATCTGTATCACGGATAATGATGTATGGCCAGCAGACATGACCTTAGAAACTCTGGATGTATTCACAAAATCCTATTGGATCCCTGGCATACATGTAAAAGTGTATATGTGTATATATATGACTATGCATGTTTGTTTATGTGCATTTATGTCCACAGTTTTAAAGGTCTGACCTATACAGCACAAACCCCAAGTTTTAGCTACTAACTTTTTGCACTGGTTTTGTGTCCTTCATGTCTCCATCTCTGTAAAATGGCACAGGGTTTTAAGGAAGGCTGTTAAAGATAAGGACAATGACAACTCTGGCATAATTGTTGAACAAAAGAAACCTAGGCACATGTATGTAGGCAAAAAGAAAGTGTTGTCTGTGGTCAGAGCAGTATTTAATGAAACCACTGAAAGTGAACCTCTTCCTTAAAGATGCTCTGAGTGTCTGTGGTAAAAGACAGCCTTTGCTCATAGAATTTGTCCTCCAAGCAGACAAGGCAGGCAAAGAATGGGAAGGGGAGAATACTACTCCTTCAGTACTACATGGCACATGAATGTCCTCTCTCCAGAAGTGTTCCCCTTTGATCCAGGTCTCCAGGCTGCTGCTACAGCAGTGCCCAGGGGCTCGGGGATCAGCCTAGCTAAAAGCCCTGGAAGAGTTAAGAGAGAAAATCTATTGTGTTCAACCCTTCCCTCCTTAAGACAAGCAAACAGTCAAACTTCCATTAGGAACTGAGAGACTCAGCCTCCAGTACCAGCCGCAGCACTGCTCTCCAGCAAGATGCCAAGTAGGGTTTGTGCTATGGCTTTGATGCTACGGAGCAGCCCCTCATGTCCTCCTACTCTTGTTACCATCCCTCAGTGCTGTCTGTGTCTCTGTCACCAGACGCTTCCTAACCTCCTCTTGAGGTCTTGTAGTGGTGGAGATGCCACACTGCCTCTGTGCATGCTGTCCTAGAATTTCATTATCTTACTGTTGAAGTTCTTCTTTCCTCATAGTTGAGCAAAACTTTTCTTGCAGCAATTTAAGTTAATCAGGCCTTGATTGACTACAGAGAAAAATCTTCAGGTCCATTTAAAGTTAATGAAACCATGCCAGTTTCTACCAGCTAAAGATATAAAACCAGTAATAGGAAGTGTTTTAATTTTTAGTCACACAGGAGAAGTTTGGGTTTCTTAACTGGAAAATTTAGCAATTAAAATTCCAAGGCATCAGGCTGTCATACAAAGGGCTGAGCTCCCCATATTTCTCATTTAGACAGCTGAAGAGCCAGACATTTCACAAGGACTGGGTGCTCTCATGAGAAGGAATTTCTCCATTATTTTCATTGTAGATTAAAATGTTTTAGCCTTAAATAATCTTTGGATGAGGCCCTGACCTCATGTTTGTATAAATATGGACTTGTTCAGCTGAAGTCTCCGGAGCTATATAAAAATAACATCAGTGTAACAGAGGATTCAGCCCAGAATATGTCAGTATATTCTTAGCCTCATGATATTGCCCAGCTCCAGCACCTTCCTGGATGGCCCTGTGTGGTTCCAAGTGTCCTAACAGAGGTATTTGCAACTGCTGTTGGAGTGCTCAGATCTGTGCTACAGTACAAAACAGATGGTATCATCATGTAAAATAATATATCCAAAGGTACTGACTGTAATAAACCTCCTGGTACTTGTGTCTTTGAGGTAAGTTTGCTACAGATGTTAGCCAGAGGACATACTAAGCTTATTCGGTGGATGTCTTTAGGGAAGGTAGATGCTTCACTTCTCAGAAAATCAAAAATATATTATGTTTTCTTTTATTCTTCCAGAGATTAATGGTTGTTTTCAGATATTATGTGTGGGTTCACTACTCTGTGTGGATGCCAGAGTGTGTGTTCCCTAATTTGCCATTGAGGTGTAGTGATGGGAAGGCCAGTGGGTGCAGTAAGAGCCCAGCAGGGATAACATCTTTTGTCAGTAGTGTGGTGCCATAAAAATGACAGCAGTGACAGTCAGCATCCAGCAGGCCCAGATGCCCAGGCCTAAATGCTACATAACATTAAAAAGTAACAACGACAACAACAACCCCACGTTATCCCTCCTCATTAACTTTTTAAAGCTCCTGCTCACTTTGTGGAATCACCATTCTACCACACTGTCAATAATATATGAAACAAAAAACTCCTGTCCACCCTGAGCTGAGAATAAAAGCAGACAGACTTACAGGAACTGCTCACTGCTATTTTTGGTTGTCCTGAATTCAAGAATAACAGTAAAAACAAGGAAGAGCCAAGACAAGAAAATTAAATTAAATCACACAAAAAGTGGCCAAACATTTTAAAGAGGGATGCAGTGAGAGAGAGATGATATTTTCTCTTTGTTCCTTTATTTAACTCCATGTCACCTGCTCTCTAGAGAGCCACAGACTTAGAGAGAAAGCAGCATACGTCTTTTCTTCACTTTCTTTTTAAAATGAATTTATTGCTCAAGAGACACTCTTGCCTCTGCTACCCCTCAGCACCCATAACTGGGGGTAAATGCATACCTGCAATCCATCCGCCCAGCGCCAGCAATCTCCTTGACCTGTTAACCACTCCACTGTCTGGCTCTGCTGAAACATCTGCCCAACAGTGGGACAGGGCAGGGCTTTGCCAGCTGTGGTCAGCACTCCAGGGCTACACAAATGTTCTGTCTTGTGTAATTAACACATTCACGTACAGAAAGGGTAACTGTGAAGGAATATATTCCTAGCCCTTTTCTTCCAATGATTCCACGGTGCTCAGGGACAGAGGAGGCTAACTGAAAGAGGAAAAGTGGCATTTTCAGTAGTAGACTTGCAAAAGTGACATATTAAGCCATTGTAGTACACTGCCTCTTACCAGGGCACCACTTCCTGCTCCTGCAGCCACTGAATTGCCTTGCAGAGAGAGAAGCACTGAGGATTCTCATATACAGCATCTTCTAATCTAATCTGGGTACTACAGACCCAGAGAATTTTCCCAAAGCACTACAGAACCCACCTGTGCTCCTGCTCATGTGGCCTGATTCACAGCCAGGGCAGAGGCTGCCCCAGCTGAGAAATTCAGTATGGAATAGGAGCAGTGAACAGCTTCCTCACCTTGTAGCAGCTCATTGCAAATTGGTGCAATCTGCATTTCCAGCTAGAGGAGTTTTTGAGCAGAATTAATTGCAGATGACTCCTAGCCTACTTATAATCTAAAATACTGTTTTGTTTTGGCAGGAGAAAGGAGCTGCACTTTCTGCACAAAGCCAATGCCTATAAAACAGAAGAAAGCAAAGCATGATCAGTGTGGTGAGCAGGAGATAAAACAAGCTCCTTGGCACTGGGCAATGGCAGAGGAAGTCTGTTTCCTCCCTGATAGCTAGTCGAACATTGTTACCCTAAGCTGGGCCGGTTCTCCTCCCACCAGGCTGTTCATATACCATCTGTCCGTGCTGAAAATTATCAGGAGCATTATGTTTCGTCTTCACTTATTAAAAGGCTGAATGCAAACTTTCCAGAGCATACAGAGTGTTACAGCTTACTGCACCGGAAACTTTATACCATTATGTCTAGCTAGGCCCCTGAGTCTCTGTTTTAATGCCTGGAAATGAGACAAAGTACAGCCAAGAAAGGGCAAGAAAAATGTAAAACTTCAAAATCAGGATCCACAGGTTTCGCAGTTTCCCTTGTTCTTTTGCCTAAAACTAGAAACAGAACAAATTTATGCTCCTATTACATTTTTAAACCAAGGGCAGGGTAACATCTCTCCCACAAGCGTTTTGCCTGTGCTGCCTCTGAGGTGTGGAAAAGCCTACAGAAGGAATGCTGAGTGCCAGCAGTTTTTCTTTTCCCTCAGGTTTCCCATCAGCTCTTTTTCTCTAAAGTGTGTATAGAAAGTCATCTTCAGATACTGCCTAGATAAGAGGAGAAATGCTATTCTTGCTACTAATACTTAAGAATGGTGAATATCTCCATGTGTTAAAACATTGTTACTACCCCCAGTGTTTGTTTTCCCTTGATGTAGGCATTTTCTGCAGTTAAGAGACACAGCATTGACCAGAGCTTTAGATATCGCTATGACCAAATTACAATAATAGAATCACAGAAGCACAGAATACCCCAAGTTGGAAGGGATCCACAAGGATCATTGAATCCAATTCCTGGCTCCACACAGGACCACCCCAAATTCCAACCCCACGTCTGAGCGTTGTCCAAACGCTCCCTGAACTCCGGCACTTGGGCCGTGCCCACTGCCCTGTGCAGCCCGTTCCATGCCCACCGCCCTGTGGTGCAGCCCCTGTCCCTGACCCCCACCCGCCCCTCCCCTGACGCAGCTCCATGCCGTTCCCTCGGGCCCTGTCGCTGTCACACAGAGCAGAGCTCAGCGCTGCCCTCCGCTCCCTGTGAGGAGCTGCAGCCGCCATCAGGCCTCCCCTCAGCCTCCTTTTCTCCAGAAAATTGGCTTTATTCAAGTAATGCATATGTGAGTTTAGATTCAGAATTCTGTAGGCTCAGAAACACTATTCACCTCCTGGGTGGGAAAAGGGGAACATGGAAATGTCTCACTTGTGCTGGCAGAACAGGCAAAGAGCAAACACTGGGGAAAGGCTGAGATTCACAGCATTCAGACCACCCTGGT